CGGAGGAGGAGGCGGAGCGGCAGCAGCGCGAGCAGTTGGCGAGAGAAAGAGAGAAAGACATTGAAAGGGCCGTTCGCCTCGAGGTAGAAAGATGAAATCATTATTTTCTTCTTTCCCATCATTTCACTTTTGTTCAGTTGGCTTGTTGTCTCTCCGGCTTGTTGCACAGAACGAGCTATTCTCCTTTAGTAACAGTTTCTCGTTGTTTCCTTCGTTTGTTTTTTTCTGTTTTTACCTTTTGTCTCTCGCCTACTTGGTGCTTTGGACGCGCTGTGCGGCGAGTGCAGGTGTAAACAGAATGCGCCGCCTCACTGTGTTCCGTTTTTTGGTTCATTTCAGGTTGTGTTTGTTTCGTTGCTTTTCACGTGCACAGATGTGTTGCTACTGGTGCGTGGAGGATGTATATTTTCTGTTGCTTTTGCTTTGTGTTTGTTCTATTTCTGTTCAGAGAAGCAGAGGAAAGCGGCGAGATGACTCGCAAAGAGATATCAGTGAAATGGTTGCATTGGGGCTGCCGGTGGACGCGAAGAAACAACGCACAGACTCTATGTTCGATGCTCGCCTCTTCAACCAAGCAGGCGGAACAGATTCGGTTTGTCTACTGCATTTCCTTTGGTTATTTCATTGTTATTTCATTCTTTATTTTTGCGCTTTATCGCTTTCATTGCAACGTGGCGTGGTTGCTAGTTTCTTCTGCTCTGACGCTAGAACGCCCCTTCACGCGTTCGTGTCTGTCGTCGTTACCTTTTTTTTCTATTTTAATGGAGTGTTACTGTGTTCCTTTTATGTTTTGCTGTGAACTGGGTGCGTTGCCGCAGTGTTCTAGTTGTTCTGCATTTGTTCACAGTTTCTCTCTGTACTGCTGTGTGTTTCTCTTGTTATATATTTAGGGATACAAAGGAGGAGAAGACGACACGTACAACTTATACGACCGCCCCCTCTTTGCTCAACGAGGAGGCGCTGGAATTTATCAATTCAGCCGCGACAGGTTTTCCGCTTCTGTTGGGTAAGAAAAGTAGAAGCATCTATAAACACATTTGTATCTTCATCCAATTGACTATTAAAATAAACATATTTGACCGCATTGCGGTCCTCCTTAGTTCATCCTCCATGAGTCTTGTTGCAGTGAAACTCCTTGAAATGCCGGTGTACGGCATTCGAATTTGTATTTTTCTGTCTATAGAGCGCAATAAAGCTCTTCTATATTACACGAATATTAGTAATATATAAACTCTGTAAATGACCACTGCCGGTAGGGTGGAAATATGCTTGTGTGTTTTCTGTTTTTCTTTTGCATTGATCGCAGAGAGGACTCCGAATTGGCTGCTTTTGCTGGTGCTGACAAAACGAGATACACGAGGACAGGTCCAGTGGAATTCGAAAAGGTAAGATAAAAAAACAAGAGCAGAAAGCTGTATATAGCAGTGTTCTTCAGGTTTCGTTTCAGCGATGCTACAAGCGTAGTGTTCGTGTTTCGTAATTTTTCTTTTTCTTCGTTTGTTTGTAGTTTTGTGCTCGTCCTTATGTTTTTTTTCTCTGCTGTGTTTGCGTTCTGATTATTCGTGAATGTTTGCTTGCTTATCATCCTTTCATTTGTTTTTTGTTATGTATTAACCTGTTTGTACATTGCCTCCTCATGTTATTGTTATGTGTTTAGAATATGTTGTTCGCTGTTTGTTGTGTTTTTGCGTGTTTTCCGTTGTGTTTTTACTTTTTTTTGTGCGGTTGCTCGCCTGCTGTTGTGTTGCAGGACGTGTCAGATCCGTTTGGCCTGGATAACCTTCTT